TTAAAAGATTGCATTATTTCAACCATCATTCAATCTCTCTATAATGAAAACCAATTTACTTTAACACAGAAAATACTTCTCTGCTTTTTACTTATAATTAATTTTCATGTAAAAGTGCATCCATTATTCTCAAGTTAAATTATTAATTCAATTAAACAGTGCATTCGATGAAGGTTGCGCAGCTCAGCACAATGGAAAACTTGTTAGGAAATTTTCTTTGCTGGTGCACAACAAGCAAAAAGTGGAGCGAAAGTTGCAGAAAAGCGTCGCTTTGTTGTTGCGAAAAAGGACCGCGAGTGCAGCGAGTTAATTATTAAAGCGCAATGCTGGTCCATTTGTTGCTGATTTCCACCATCTTTCAAGGGCAGACGCGCCAAATGGCGCCCCGAAAGCTCCGCTGATGAAAGTTGGACTCCCTTTTTTTCATGGGGGAAAGTTGAGTTTCATTTTAGACTCGCCATGAAAATTAGCCTCGCCTGATTTGTAATTATTTTGACTCAATATAAATACTTTATGAGAGTCGTTTTAATGCTTTTTAGGGGTGATTTTATGCAGGAATTTTAATGTATTCTGTCACTCAAAAACACTTAATAATTTTTTTTGAGGTTATGTGATTAATTTTAACCTGCAAAATTATGATAATTTTTGGGTTTCAGACAGAAAAATTCATATTTATTGGTAGAATTAAGCATTTGAATCATTTGCATAAAAGAAAGATCGATAAACACACTGAAAATTGATATACAGTCACACATAACCTCTAAAAAATGTTTTTAGCTTAACAAATATATATTTAATTCCGCAATTTTGAACTTTTCAAGGAATTTTCAAGGAAATTGTATCAAATAGAAATCGTTCATCGTATTTTTATTGATTTTTAAAGACTCATTCAGATCTTTTAAAGTAATTTGTGAGGTTATGTTGATAAAAATGTCTATAAGACGGATTTTAAGAAAATTTCTTTAAAAGTATCGACTGAATCTATAATTCTGACTCCTAAAAAGTTCTCTAAAAGGAGTTGAAGAAGTCAGGATTAAGATTTCAGCCATATTATCTCCCCCTTGGCAAATCTACAGAAAGATTTTGACACTTAACATTAGCAATGACCGCTAAATGGGCTCAAATTTCCTCATTTGCAACCTGAGAAAGCTCGTCGAGGCAACTTTTAATACAAAGTCATTTATTTTCCATGTGATTTTAATCTTCAAATATTTTCTCAGGCACTTCTTTGTCAGCCCAATTCTTCCTAAATTTCCTCTATGACCCCATTTTTAATCTTCCCTCCACGGCTCGACATTTTTTTCTTTTCTCCACACCAAAACGAGCGGGAGAGTTTGAGGGAAAAAAATTGGTGGGAAATTTGTTGCCATCTCACCTCTTTTCACCATCCTGTGTAGAGCTTTTTTCTCCTCCTAGCAAGTTGCAGAGAAAAAAAAATGCTAGCGAGCGAATTAAAAAGCTCCGCATTTTTCCGACATACAAATAGAGCGTTAAAAATTTTCCAACCACCCTTTTTTTGCATTCGGGGATGGCAGAGAGGTGGAAAAGTAAGTATCCTCCTAGCCTGTGAAAGGAGAGTGATTTTCCACACGGCAGAACATTTTTCCACACACACACGTGTTTGTATTCATCTTGGCTACATTTCCCCGACAATCTCTCACGAGTGGGCAAAAGTTTCACGCCCGGAAAAATGTAAATATGGCGAAACATGGCGATTTCTCATTAATTGAAAGTTTTTGCTGGGCGCCAAGAGAAAAAAGGCAGTCGTGGAAATCTAATTGGCTTCGCCTCGAGGCCAATTTCGACACTGTGTCGAAAGATATTTCACTTTAGCTTATCAAATTGCAAAAAAATATATAGCATTTTGTATTCACGGCGAGTGACAAAGTTTGTGAATTAATTTGGCGCGCGATTCTCTTCCTGGATTTCACCCTCGAAAGTCCGAGGGGATTTTTATTGAGTTTCTGCGAGACAAGAAAAAAACCGCCCCGAACGAGAGAAATTACAATTTTGACCTTTCGCAGAAATGGAGAAATTCACTTTTCATCAAATAACAGCCAAAATCATTCTTTTCTTCGCATCTGAAACACTCTCTGTGTTTCTCCAGCGTGTTTCACAGTCGAATAACCTCAACATTGATAAGGAATGATATCTTGTGATAAGATGTGCGAATTGACAGTGACAATGGAGAGAGAATTTGCAGCCGGATTGTTGGTGTTTCGCAGAAAAAGTGGAGAAATTTAATATTTGCTGCTGAAATCTTCGTACAATTTCAGCTGGTCGCCGCCGAAAGGCAAGTGCAAGAGATTTGAGTGGCTAAAATATGTACACCACATCTTGTCACTTCAACAATTTACAAGACAATTTATGTGTAAAGATTTTAACACTTAGAACAATTCTAAATAAATTGTGAGAATATAGATGAAAAGCGCAGTTGGAAAAGGAATTTTTCAATTTTTCCAGTGATATTTTATGTCAAATATTCTGTCAATTTTAATTTCAATGCTCTCGAGACAATCTAAAAGCATTTTTGAGGCTTTTCTTAAGTTTTCAGATGATTATTGTAAGATTTCGCCGCTTTTTCTTAAGAAATTTGAATCGAAACTTGGTTTTGATCTCATAATTGTCACTTTGATGTGTAAAAACAGTCCTAAAAATCAATTTTCTGATCCAAAATAGTATTTTTGAGGTTATGTTACACTTTAAAATTGTTTTTCAGCACTAAATCTTATAAAAATTGCGGATTTTCTTGACTGCAATTCTAAATTCTGACCAGAAAAGGGTCATTTTTTAACTTTTGAAGTATTTATCATCAAAATTAATGTTTTTGAATTGATCACATAACCTAGAAAAGCATTAAACCGACCTTTTTCTAAGTAAAAGTCACAAGAAATTCAAATAAGTGCACGAAATGGCTGAAGAAAAAGGAGAAAAAGCTATTATCACGACATTTCTGTTCAATTTCAGGTCATTTGGAGGCCAGAGAAAGTGACTTTGACGCCGCTGTGCGCGAAACCAGGGAAGAAACTGGATTTTCTGCAGAAGATTTGAGAATATTCAGAGATTTTTCCCATGAAATGAATATTATCGTGGAAGGATTTGACAAAAGAGTGATTTTCTATCTTGCAGAGCTTATAAATCCCGACAAAGAGCCGAAAATATCCAAAGAAGAGCATTTGACGTACAAATGGTTGGCGAAAAGTGAAGCAATTGATTTAGCAAATTTTGTAGAATTTGAAGAAATGGTGGAAAAATTCCACGAAATAGTTTCAAAATGCAGCGAACTGAATTAAATTTGGAATAAAATTCTAATTCAAATTCAATTACAAGGACTTCATTTGCCCCTCATTCACAGTTGGAAAATGCGCGATGTTAATTAGCAGCGACATTCAGCTAAAAACCGTGTTATTGATTTTAACTTGGAATGTTCGATGAAAAGTCGAATTACAAAAGCAACAACTTGCTATGCAACGCAAAACATGTAAACTGTAATTATTCTGTGCATTTTCACAGGCACCGGAAAAGTGCACTTAAAGCTCTGCTGAAGTCTTCCTCTCTCGTCCTGATCCAGATGAATTATAATTTGTATTGATTATGGCATCTAATAGCGTCTCTTGTGCTCTTCTCTCTTGTGTTCACCCAGAGATTTGCATTTGCGATGCGATTGCGATAATTTCATTTTACTCCTCTGATAGATAAACTCAATACAAATTTTGGGAGAACATTTTAATTGAATTGTTTTCTCTGTGTTCTCATCTTAGCTGAATCTGCGCTCCGCATTTGCCTTGCATTCTCTGCCAATCTTGTGTTTTCAGCACGTCTTTATCTGGAAATAACATAAGAAAAGTCTTTTCATCTCTCCACAGATAATCATATTTGTTTAATAAAATCAAAAAGATTGGAAAACTTCACACAAAGACTTAAACTTTTCCATATGAACTCAATTAAATCGATGAAGTTGAATTTGAGTGCAGATAAAAAAAATACTAATTTATTAGAGCCGTTTTGCCAAGTTTTCAACTATTTTTCAGCAGTTTCGCTGCTCAAATGTCATCAAATGACCTAAAAATCGAATTTAATAGTCAAAAAGAAAATCAAGTTAGAGTAAACTAATAATTAATAATGAAAATAACATTGAGGCTATTTACATCGAGTCGGCTTGAAATTCTAAGCCGGCTTGGTTTAAAATCTAATCAACTTTGAAATTCTCAGCCTCATTAAACTCTCATTATAAACTGAAAATCGGGTTGAAAAACGATTAATTTTCAGTTAAAACAGGTAAAAATCAGTTTGTAAGCTCGCTGAAAAATTTAAGCCGAATTCTTGGCCGAACTCGATATAAATAGCTTTAATTTAAAGATTATTTAAATTTTGTTTGAAATTAATACACCCGAAAACTAATAGAAAAAATTACTTTGAAAATTAATTTGTTCAGTTTATTTATTATCTTTTCCGTATTTCAGTAAAAATTCCAGTAAATTCCAATAAAATCCACAATTGTAAGTTTAACGCTTTTAAACGGTGTTTTGAGATAAATTCGGCAAATTTCGCGGCGATATTAAAACTCATTTTTCAATTTGTTCTCTTGAAAAATTGTGATTTTTACTTTAATGGTTAAAAATTCCCGAAAATTGATCTTTTTCGCCGAATCACTAAACAGATTTTGAATCCATTTATACAGTAGCGAAAATTAGGTTAAGACACCAATGAAATTTAGGCCATTTCTTCTTTTCGTGCTAAAATTCGATATTTCTTTCAATTTTCGAGACACTTACTTTAAGACAAGAATAATTAGAATTTAATTATCTTTCAAATGGCGTTGAGATCACGGCGATATCTTAATTCGGGGCCGAGATATTGCAAAATGCAGAGAAAATTGCGTCCATAAGGTTTCATCGCGACTTGTTCTGAAAGAAAGTTGCACGAAACAAGATAGTGTTTCACGCAATCGGTCGCAGAGACAAGAGATTCAAAAGTCGGCAGTTGGAATTCAATATTCTTTATTCATCAGCCTCACTTCTTCAGCGAGCCGAGGCGCGACGGGTCCTGGCTGGGATAGTGCACGGCGCCGGCGTCCACGTGGTGCTCCAGCATGGGCGCGGCGACGGCGGTGGCGGCGGGCACGTGCACGGGCTGGAAGGCGGCGCCGGAGCTGTACATGGGCGGCAGCGGCGCGCCGGGGATCATGCCGGGCGGCAGCTGGTGCAGCTTCATGCCGGCGGGCAGCACGGTCATGTCGGCCACCTGCAGGTTGAAGTAGTCGTTGGGATTGGGCGGCAGCGGCAGCGTGGACGGCAGGCCGGGCACGGGCTCGTAGTTGCGCTGCAGGCGCGGCATCGACGGCACGTACTGCTTGGCCTGCGAGTGCGCCCACTTGATGGTGAGCCGGCGGCCGCCCAGCACCAGCTTGTTGAACGTCTTGTCGGCCGCCAGCTCGGCCGCCGAGCGCTTCGTGTACTGCACGAAGGCGCACTGCTGCCGCGGCAGCACCGTGATCGTGCGGATCTCGCCGTAGTGGTAGAAGTGGTCCTTGATGTCCGTCTCCGTGATGTGCTCGCCGATGTTGCCCACGTACAGCGTCGTGATGCTCTTGTCCTCCGGCGGCTCTAGCGTCGGCAGACTCGCGGCGCGCTTCATGATCTTGTCCGCCACGGGATCGTTCACGCCGTAGTATCTGGAGAGAGAGACGCAAAACAGCCCAGATTAGCCATATTACTTCAGATAGAAAGAATTCCTGATCGGTCGTTGCAACTTTACATTCATTACATATAAAATAAGCTGTCAAAGTGATTAAAATCCGGTCACAAATCGTTTAAAACAACTTATACTAATTAACAGGGATTTTCCCTTTCGCCAAGCAATCAAATTCGAGTTAAAAATTGAAAACAGACTTAAAAAGTGTTTTTCTGACCTCAAAGATAAACTTTTTCTTTCCGGAAAGGGATTTTGAGGGCTTTTCACTCCTCAATTCCCTTCAAATATATGATTTAAATGTTCCTAAGGATGCAATTAGATGTTCTGTGTCAAATTTATAATGACTTGAGTGCGGAGGATCACGCAATCCCATTCCCGGACAACTCCCGGAACACTGAGCAGCGCTCCCAGTGCATTTTCTAATAGAACTGAAGCTAAAGCGTCTGATTTCCTGGGCTCTGTGAGTCCCTGAGACGCTCAAGAGAAAATATGAACAATAACAGATCCGTTCCCGGCCAGGGAATGGCCAGAAAACGCCCCGAATCTCACCTGTCCTTGATGTTCTGCTCCGAGAGCGGATCGTCGGGCTCGTTGGGCTTGTCGTGGCGATAAGGACACTCCTCGCCGCGCTTGCACTCGCCTTTGACCCAGAAGGAGCAGATGTGCGGCCGGTTGCGCTTGTAGTACGGCGACGTCCTGGCCAGCTTGGCCAGCATATCGCTGGCGGCCAGCGACTTTCCCACGGCGCCCGCCGCGGCCGTGCCGTCGGTGCTCTTGAGCTGGTTGTCGATGTTCTGGATGTAGTACTCCTTGTTCACGTCGCTCTGCGGCAGGTCGTCCTGGATCTTCAGCGCCGCGTCGCGCACCTGCGTAGGCAGGCCGTACTCCAGGTCCAGCAGGCACGTCTGGCACACGTTCTTCAGCTTGCTGCACGTCTGGCAGATCTCCGTCTTCTTGAAGCGCATCCGCGCGCCCGGGCACCAGCGGAAGATGGTGAAGGGCCGGTTGCAGATCTTACACTCCTTGCCGTAGCGCTCCTTGATCATCCGCACGTAAGGATTGTCGCCCAGGCACGTCTGGCAGAGAATGGGAAACTCCGAGTCCTCCCAGTTCTGCCGGTTGTACGTGTTGGTCGTCTTGGACATCGCCATGATTGCTGCAGTCTTTGATAATCGGAATTCACGAGATTTCAAGAGATTTCACAAGGAAAGAGAAGCTCCTTTCCTTCCAATTGCAACCAAAACAATGCGGAAACGTCAACGCAATGCGCATGATATATGCGCTCGGAGCGCCCTCTGGAGACGTGGAGACATTTCCAGTGAGAGCCGAAAAGGCGGCTTTTGGAGACTTTTCTGGCAGTTTTGACAACTCATCAACCAAAACATTCTCGCTGGTTTTCAGACTCCTCGGAAAACGCCTAAAATCCGCGTGAAAATGAAGGAAAACATCTGTGATAAGATTGAGAACGATGGTGAGAATGGCGAGGAAGCAAACTGCGCACAAGTCGCACTGATTTCTCTCTTCCTTTTTGCCCAGAATTCTTCCAGAACTTCCTTCGCGACGGCGCCTCGAGTCAGACGGCGGAGGCCAGCCGCTTCTTCTCCTACACGGAGCAGATCAACAAGCTGGCCGAGGGCCTGGACGCCCTGTCGACGGAGCTGCAGAGTCAGGTGCGAGAGCAGCACGGGGCGCTGCTGTCGCAGGCCAGCCACGCCGGCAAGCTGGACGGGACGCTGGCCGTGGTTCACGGGCACATGGAGAGTCTCGTGGGCGCGGCCGGGCGGCTGAAGAGCCACGTCAACACGCCCTACGACGTGCTGGAGAGCAGGACGCGAGTCCTGGGGCGACTGCACGAGACCACGCACATCCTGCGCCAGGCCGGGATCTTCCTGCAGCTGTACAAGCGCCTCCTGGCCACGAAGGAGTTCGAGCGCCAGGCGACGATCTTCCACGAGATCGACTCGCTGATCGAGGACGACGTGCTGAACAGCGTGCAGTTCCTCAAGGAGGAGATCACGCACGTGCAGAGCAATCGCCGCAAGCTGATCACGCTGGCGGACAAGGAGCTGAACACGGCGCTGAAGAATCTCAATGTGGACACTGTTCAGCGCAGTCTGCAGATCTTCTCCAATCTGCAGATCCTCCGGCGCTACATTGACGATCTCCTGGAGACGTTCATCGGCGACATTCGGCAGTCCATCAAGGAGTGCTTCACGGCGCCGGAGACGAAGCTTCCGGGCGCACGCGAGGCGGAGCCGAAGGGCGCCAAGGCGGCCATGAGGGCGCCTGGGAAGGCGCCAGCGCTCACCACGTCGCTGCACTTCCGCGCGAAGCTGTGGAACGCCCTGGAGTGGCTCTTCGCCGAGGAGATCTTCAGCTTCAGCGCCCAGATTCGCTTCCTGCAGAAGTGCGTGCGCAACAGCGGCCTGATGGACGCCGACATGGAGATCGAGGCCCAGTGGTGGCGAGGATTGCAGGAGCTGCTGAAGGCGTCCTTCAGCGCCTGTCCGCCGCACATCGGGCAGTGCCTGCAGCAGGGACTGCCCAAGCTCGTGGCGGAGACGAAGAGTCTCTTCACGAAGCTGCAGATCGAGTCGCCCTTCCGCGAGGACATCTACCAGTCGCTGGAGACGGGCTTCCTGGAGAAGTGCGCCAGCAATCTCAAGGCCGCCATCGCGGCGACGGATCTGCCGTCGGAGGACACGCTGGACGCCCTGATCCGCGCCGCGGCCACGGAACTGGGCACGGCGATTGTGGATCAGCGCCTGTGCGACATGGTGACCAGCGTCGTGATGTCCTGCAACAGGGACGTGTGGAACAGGCTGGAGTCCAGCATCAAGCTGGGCACGGACTCGAAGCAGATCGTGGACATTCCCAACTCCGCCCAGATCCAGAACACCACCATCGCCAACCTCATCAGCTACCACGCCGAGGCGGTGAAGCGTCTGGTGGACAATCTGGGCGCCACATTCGCCTCGTCCGGCAGCGCCAAGCGCCTCCTGGACAACCTCAACATCGGCCAGAACCTCGTCCTGGCGATCCTCCAGCAGATCTTCGACTCCATCGCGTCCGCCGTGCACGACATCATGATCTCCATGCACCGCGAGCCCGCGCTCAACGTCAGCACGTCCTCCAGCGTGTCGCTGTACATGAAGGAGCTGCAGGAGTTCCTCTCGCGCGTCTGGGGCGCTCACATTGGGCCCTTCGCCGACAAGGACACCGTCGCCAAGTGTGGCCGCGAGCTGGCCAGCCGCTGCATCGAGCTGTTCATCCGCAACGTCGCCATCCTGCGTCCGCTGTCCCAGATCGGGCGCAACAAGATCCGGATCGATTGTCAGCATCTGGAAGTGGTTCTCGTGGCGATTGTGGGCGATCTGGCGACACTGGGAAAGCCCTTCCGCGCCATCAGAGCCTTCAACACGATCCTCACGCTCACGCCCAAGCAACTCTCCGAACACTCCATGGATCCGGACAATCCCATTCCCTCCTACATCGTCTTGTTGATGATGTTCAGCTTCGCGGGAACGGATTTGACGAGTCCCAACGTCACAGCCGGTTGGTCCAATGAGAAACTGATGCAGTGGCTCGATGGGCACACATCAAATCGTGAGAGGTGAGTGAGAATCCATCAAATCCCTTGGAATCCCTTCCTGATCTCTCTCTTTGCAGACTTGAGCTCATTTCCGGAGCTCTGCACAAGTACAGAAACACTGTGAGACAGAAGAACATCACCCAGTACGATCCTGTCTATCCCCTGATCGCGTCTGGACTGGAGAAAGCCCAGCAGAGCCTCTGAGAACACAGGAAGAGCCCCAAATCCCGGAAATGGGGTTATGTTGAAGTATTCAAAATATCGCGCGCTCTCCAACTGTCAATAAAGTAAGGTTAAAGTTGACTGCTGGTTGTTTTGTATTGATTTTCCACTGCGGAAGCTGAAATCTCAAGATCCTGGCCATGGGCAGCAGACAGTCAGGACACCGAGGCTACAGCGCCACTCCCGATTATCCCCAAAGCGACCTCTCAATGGAATACATCACAATCTCGCGAGACGTTCTGATGCGCCTCGAAGGACTCGAGAAGGACAGCAAAACGCTCAGACAGAGAGTCCGGGAAGCGCCTCCGCGTCAGAAACCCACTCCTGCACCCAAGGAGACCTTCAGGAGAACCTTGAGAGATCGCCAAGACGCGCTGAATGAGGCAATCAGGCGGAATGAGGAGATCTTCTGGAGCATCGCCGCTGATCTGGAGGGAAGATTGAGGCAGAAGGAGAGGGAACAGAATGAGAATCCCGTGAAGGCGGCTTCTGGTGTTCTCGTTAGCTGCCTGCTGAAGAATCCAGGAGAATCTCTGCGCTGCAGTGAAGAAGTTCAGGCTTTCAACCGTCAGATCTTCAAACTGGCAAATTCTCCATCCGGGAACCCATAAATGGGAACCTGTTTCATCTCACAGTCGAGATAAGATCTCAGAAAGTGCATTTTATTGTAATATTCGCTACTTTGCTGCAAAATCTCAGAAAATAAATTCCATGAGAAAGAACTTGAGTGATTTTATCATTTCCGGTAATTCAAACTGTCAGAGAATGCTAAACTGGCATGCCAGAGAGGGCAATTGAAGGCATTTTCACGGGGAATATTAATAAATTTCGAGGGATTTAGAATGTTTTTCGCCACAAAGAATATCTCAAAAATTTGCAAAAAATGCCACTGAATTTTCTGCATAGACAGAATTTTACTCCACACGCAGTTTATGTGGAAAATTAATTAAAATGTAAAGAAAAAATTCACTGCAATTATGTCTTCATGCCAGTGATATAAGTAATTGAAGGAAGGCGAAGACACACTGCAGAATGCTCGATTCTTTCTCTTTGCTGGTGTTTTTCTTTCTTCTTCGAAAAACGAAAAAGAGACTTTAAAAGCTTTAAAGCAAGATGTAAATGAGACATTTTTGAGTCCAGCAAACGATTTGAAAGCCTGAATTTAATATATCGTTCAATTATGTGTAGTTTTGTTTATTTTCATTTCTTTCTTGTCAAAATTAACAAACTTTTGCTACAAATAATGTAGCAAAAGTGAAATAAAATAGTGTTTTCTGCGATTTTTGATGAAGCATTGCAAATAATTCAAACTGGAATTCTATTCCTATTGAAATTAATCGAATAACAAATTTTTAAAATAAATTTAATAATACAAAATGATGAAAAATAGAAGAGACGAAGAAAATTTGCAAGAAATGCTTTTCACTCTTCCCGCGATCGATTATAGTGCTCTGCTTCTGCTGCAAGTGGCGAAGATCGAGCTGCAAAGTGTCGTCTCGCTCACGCCAAGCCGGCGCTCTCTTTCTCGCTCTCTTTGGCGTTCTTGCTTGTGTTGTGTTTACTACTCAACTGTTATCACTGCTCGTCTGCAACTCTCCGCGGCTCTTCGATAAAACTGTAAGTAAATGCCCAGAAAAGCCCTGAAAACCCCCGGGAAAATGGGTGAAAAGTGTCGTGGCGTGTGCCGAGTGAGCGGTTTGCGTGGAATTCGTGGTGGAATTGTGGCTTTTCCAGCCACAACGGCGGCCAATCTCGCCTTGGCGTCTCAGTGAAAATCTAAGCGCGTAATTCTCAAAAATGGCGAAGCAATTTGCTCGAGGCGTCACTCGGTGGTGAAAAATAATTTTTCGCAATTTTTCCCGCTGCGGACACGCTTGGGTGGCATTTTTGGGTGGTGCCTGGGACCATGGGGGCGCGTTCTGGCATTTTTTCATATTTTTTCCAGCCTCCGCTGGGGTGGAAAAGAATTTCTTCCCGAAAAAATTCTCCTCCAGTCGCTGAGACGCGCTCTCAAGACCGCCTTTTCCGCACGCTCTCTCCTTCTCTCTCTCTCATTCTCTCACGGGGGCGCTGCTTCTCTTGCAGACTGTCTTCACAGACGCCCAGCAAGATGTCTGATACTGAGGCTCCGGTTGAGGTGAAGAAGCGCGGCAGACCGGCGAAGAACACGCAGGAAAAGGAGGTAAAGTCGCAAGTCAAGAAGCCCTTTTCGCAGGGGGTTCACTAATCTCGTTGTGCAATGTCTTCGCCAGGCGAAGAAGCGCGGCCACGCGGCGTCGCCGAAGAAGGACAAATCGCCGGCGGCCGTAGAGGTGGCCGACACGGAGAACGGCGAGGCGCCGGCCAAGCGCGGCCGCGGCAGGCCCCCGAAGGCGGCGAAGAAGGCCGCGGGCGCCAAGAAGGCCGCCCCGCCGGCTGCCAAGCCCAAGGGCACTGGCCGCGGCCGCGGCAGGCCGCCAAAGGCCAAGCCGCCAGCGTCCTCCGAGGACAACGACGACGACGACGATGATGATGAGGACGAGAAGGAGGAGGCTTAAGCGGACGCCGCAGGACATGGGGGCCCTGCCCCGCGCCATATTTCAAACTCACTGACGATTCCACTCCCCCGCTCCCTAGCTCTTAAGGCCACACAGCAACCCTAGGATGTAGATTTGATGAGAAGACCGGGCAGGCCATGTCCGAGGCGCGAAGGAGAAAAACACGTTCAGGCTAAACGGAAAAAAACCATTCTCTGGATCTAAATGTAAATAAGGACACACACACAGACTTTTCAGGACATTTCCAACCACAAACTGAGGGCAGAAAAAGAATAGTTACTTGGAGAAGAAGAAGAAAAAAACAATGTAGCGTGAATAAATTGTAATCAGTTATTAGCATAACTTTCGTTAATCTTCAAAAGTGTCTTTGTCAGATGGATTCCCAAATGAATGGACAAAAATTATGATTTATCGAGTATATAATTCCGGAAAAAAATTTATAACTTCTAATTTAACGTTCAATAAAGTAAATGTAAATTGATTTGGCATTTTGCTTTCAGTCCCTGGCCAAACGTTCTCCTCTCAAATTCGAGGCATTTCTTAAGAAGTCAGCGTTGAATTTCTGCACTTCCATCGAATATCCTCTGGGCTGAAAATCCCCGAGAAATTTGATCTTCTATCAACAGAAATCGACGAGTGGAATTGCAGAAAATAAACAAATCGACATTATCTCCGTTTCACGCACATTCAGCACATCTTTCTCTCATTTCTTCCCATCGCCATTGGCTGCATTTTGACTGAAGTGAGACGAGAATTTGTTGAAAATACCACCGAGAGAGTGAATCCTGACTAAACATCCCGCAGGACACTCAATTCCGCCCTTCTCTTTCGCCTTGCTTCGCTCAATTTTGGGGTCTTATCTAAACTCTCAGCCTTTGCTGTTGCTCTTCATGCACTTCGGAATCTTTCTCTCTCGATTGTGCGACTTCGGAGAGAATTGCAAGACGTTGCTCTGTTTATGTCTGTGAACCAGTTTTTTTTCCTCTCTGACTTCATGGGAAAAATACGTTGATATTGAGGGGATATGCGACAGTTTTTAATGAGTCTCTCGCTTTACATGAACAAGCAGACAGAGTCAGAAGAAGGCACTTTAGCTTTTTCAATAATCGGTGATTCAAAATATTGCTTTTCGCAGGAGAGAAAAAAGAGGCGGAGCTTTCAAATGGGAGGAGTTTCAAAGAATCTCAAATTCTAAGGCTATTTGTGCATTACTTCTCACCTTCTAAAAGTTTTTTCAGGTTTTTAATTGATATTTCTGCAAGAATTCGCTTAAAACAGCTTGTTTTAACATCTTTTTCGATCATAACCTAACTTTGCGCAATTTTCGGTGTTTCTCAACTTCAAAACCTTGAATTTTTACATGCAAATACTTAATTCTGCCAATTGATGTTCTTGGAGGTTAAATCTGTCTTCAATTAGTCACATAACCTAAGAAAAGCATCAATATTGTTTTTTTAGATGAAAATCAAAAGAAATACAGCAAATAAGGTTAATTTGTTAGAAAAGAAGCACTCATATGAGCCTCAAGCTCACAATTGTGTTAAAATTTAAAACTTTAGAAAAATTGAGAGGAAATTGTTTATTTTTGTTAACGTGGTTTATAAATTCTTAGGTAGTTTTCTCGAAAAATTTTGATAGAAATTATGTCTTGAGTAGAAATTTTCCGACAAGTTAATCATTTTACACAATTTCCATCAATTTTGATGAATGGGTAGCAACACTGGAATTTGGGATTATGAACCCCCGAACTGCAATGCACTCTTGCTCTCCCGCTCTTTTTTCACACTCTCTCTCCCAGAGTGGTTTTTATTTTCCACGCTCGCCGGAGAGCGCCGCCAGAGAGAGCTGAGACTGGCGGGAGAGTCGATTTTCGTTCATTCATCACTGAACCGCTGAGAGAGTCGCGTTGAGAGTGTGTGCGTGAGGTAAGCAATTAACTTCTTTTTTCCTCCTTTTCACCCTGATAAGATATCTCCGGATTTTCTTGTGCTCGCTCAGCCTCTGCCGAGGCTCCGGCAACTTTGTCTCTGCGATGAGAAATGCCCCAGGAATTTTGCTGTGTGTAAAAAAAAGTGAACGGAGTGAAAAGGGCGGGGAAAATCAACGATTTTCCTCCCATTTTGCTGGAAATGATGGCGTCCCGATGAATATTTTATGACAATCTGTCCACGAAAATCCCGGTCTTTTCCTTCCTTTGGCCATGAAATATTCAACTTTGGGATTGACATAAGTGCACACAATTTTCTGGGGCAACTTTTTCCCCACTTTTCGTGGACATTTTGATTGAGCGAAATGGGAAAACTTGAGAGAATTTGCTGCACTGCAAGTGGACTTTTCCCACATCCTTCCTGTATATTCCCTTTAATTCCATCGCAAGGCAGACTTGTGCTCCTGATTTGGTGTACATAAAAAATTTATTTTATAGTAAAACCAGGTCAAAATCGAAAAAACCCAAAAAACCAAGAGTTCTTTTAGAAATAATTCTTTTATAATGATATTTATCGTTTGTAAAATTAATTTTTTGCTTAGGAAAAATATTTTCAATCTGAATTTTTTCAAAAATATTTTTAAAATCACTTTTGAAAGTTTTATTCTTATCTAAATGGCCACAAAACAGGAGCGATTTTTCTATTCTAATATTTCTAAAGAAATTTATCTTATCTTTGAATTTTTTAAATCCTGACCAAACAATCAGTTTTATTACAAGATTTTTTCTTTTAAAAATTCAGTAACATATTTTTTTTCATATCATTTATATTTTATTAATTAAATTCTCACCAAAATTGCTTTCAAAACGAATTTTAAGAGTTGTTTTCCCAAAGAATGATCCTAAAAAGAAGTATTTTTTCTAAAAATTCCCATCTTCTTATCAGTTTTGCCCTTGAACAGCGTACAATCCTCAACTGCACTCACGCTGCCTTGCAAGATAATCATTTCCATTGCAAACTCCAACGCAGAATTTCTTTGTGTACCGAAAACGTATCTCAAAGGTGTGGTTTTTCACTTGAATCTCAGCTGAGCGTCTTTCTCTGCTTCCCTCCGAAAAGTGGTCGATCGAGAAGATGTCTGACGAAGAGGCCCCCGTTGTGACTGGCGAGAAGAAGCGCGGACGTCCGGCGGCGGACAAGGACAAGGCAAGCAAGAAAAATGATGTTTTTCCCGTGTTCCGGGATTCCTGAGGCACTCCGTTGTGACTCTTTGCAGCCCGTCGAGGCGAAGAAGCGACCCAGAACGTCGTCTCCGGAGGCGTCCGAGGGCAAGAAGGTGGCGGAGAACGGGAATGTGGCGGCGAAGCGCGGCCGCGGCCGGCCAAAGGCGCCCGCCAAGGTGGCCGTGAAGAAGAAGCCGTCGCGCGGCCGCGGACGCCCCAAGGGCGGCCGGAAGGCCAAGAGCAGCTCCTCAGAGTCCGAGGATGAGTCCGACGAGGAGGAGGAGGACGAGAATGATGCTGAGGATTCCGACGAGTAGATTCTCTGTCTCCTTTATGTGTGGTTCAACCTCGTGATTTCGGAATGTGATTAAGTGCTTTCATTTGCCCCAGTTTTCCCTCCTGGAAAAGATGACTGACATTCTGGACAGCAAGAAAAAAAAATGTGTGTGAGAGAAAAGAAAAATTGTGAGCATTTTCCCTAAAAAAAAGAAAAGAAAATTGTAAAATTATGTGTTTCATGGAGAGTCAATAAAGGACTGCGAAGTCTTCAACCACTTTATTTCGGAAGGATACATATATGGTTAGCGGAGAAGCGACCCGGAAAAGCTCTCGGCGCCGCAAAAGCTCTCCGAGAAAGCACAGGAAGTCGTGACAAAGCATTCCGTTTGAGCGTTTAAAGGCAACATTTGCATTATCTCGCTTCTGTGGGCGCTTTAATCTCATCGTATTTAGATGGAGGTTGTCTGTGGCCAGACCTCCGCATCCCGATAGCGTCTCTCGGTGGCGAGAAAACCGCATGCTGTGCTCCGGATAATGCAGATAAATTCAGCATTGACGAACATACGAAGGTTCATTTCATTCCTTCAATGCTCTTTCAATCCATTATGCCGCCTCCTTTCCTGCTTACTTTACATATATTTCCACCACTGCAGAAAATAACTACACACCACGGACAGCACAGAATTTCCATTGGGTGAATTGAGATTTTTCCAGTCATGCCGCGCTCATAAATAAACCTCCACTCAATATCTCAACGCATGGGGAGGCTCTTTTTTTTCTGCCGCACAGCCTCTGAAGAGGTGGAGAGGAAGTTGGATCGAGATGAGTTTCCTCCTGACCAATTTTTAGTAGCATTTTTGCCATCCACTCGATGCGTGGCGCGCGGCACACAATGGCACAGCGATGCTCGATATATGTGGATTCGATTGAGCTTTTAATGGGCTTCCTGTCTGGCCGGGCCGGGCCGAGAGAGAGAGAGAGAGCTTAATCTATGATCAAACAGTCCCTCAGCGCCGTCCTTGCTCTCGAGACCTTCCATTCCGTGCAATAAGTTATTCATCTCCCTCGTGCTTCGCCCCGCAATTGCCCAGTTGTATTCTATTCTGCTTCATTTGCCACTCAACTTCTTATTTTCCCTCCGTTCGCCCGCCCACGCCCCCGCCCACCACCACCCCGTTCCGGAAGAGGAAAAATCACAGGACGAAAACAGAGGCAGTCGACATGGCTTCTGGGCCACGCTCAGGACTTTTGCGTTTGGGAATTTCTTGGCGAGCGTTTGAGCGACGCACACAAACATTTATTTCCAATAAGAGATTTTCCTGATTTCCCTTCAACATGGCGATTGCTTTTGTTGGCATTTCTCGAGATATTTAATACAAATTATCTTCAAATCGCTTCTGAGAAGTGAAATTTGAAGAAATCTAAACTCTTGAAGTAGAATTTTAAAGGCTATTTTGAGGTTATGTTTTCCAATTTTCACTTAAAGAGTAGAAAAAACGTTAAAAATTGTTTTCTGGTGGAGAAAATTTGCGTGCAGAGTGCGAAAATGGACACGATTTGTTAGTTTTGTCTCTGAAATTTGCAGGTTTTTCACAAAAATCATCTAAAAATTACACTGAAGATTCCGTAAAATGTCCTTCTGGAATAGAAGGCCCTTTTCTTGAAACCTCCGCAACATAATAGAAATAGAAGATCTTTTCAACGAACCCTCAAAATAGAAGGACTTTAGTGGAATCTCGTTGCACATAAATAATTTCCACTGCTTATTAATTGAAAAAGCTAAAAAAAATTAACCTTCCAAAAACACCAAGAATCACATTAATTAAGCGTAGTTTTATCTCGATTCGCAACTTTAATATAATATTCTATGCCGGAGAATCTTTTCTGGGATGTTTCTCTGCTTTTCCTCTCTGGAATTCATGGGCGAAATTACAGGACTGCGGAAGTGTCCAATGAGCGCTATTCTTAATAATTCAGTGTCATTCTCTTCCCAATTTAATGACCTTCTTCCCCATTGTTTCACGCCAGCAAGGAGTCCGCCTTGGCAGATTGCGTGTGAATAGGCCGACAGATAAGGCGTCTGTTGAAAGGGTCTTCAATCGCGATAAAATACCGTCAGTCATCATAATTCTGACGCCTTTCGCAATGCTGTGAAAGGACTTCGTGGCGCACTTATCAGGAAACTATTTGCCACGTCGTTATCGCCGTGGGATGATCGTGGCAATCACTGGCCTCACACCTTAATTGTGTGGGGATGTGAAAATTTTCAAGGCTCAGGAATTGCTTTAGGATGACCCAAAGAAATTGAAATCAATCGTTGTCAGGAGGTTGATTGACGAGCCGAGCAGTTTTCGGGGCGAAAAATGTGCTTCTCTCCTTCTGTACATTGTCACGGAGAAGTGTCCGCTTGAAGAGGGATGATTTCCCAGTTGAGTCTCCCCAGGAGGGGGTGGAAGTGCCTCTGAGAAGACAGGATTCCGACCAAAAGGGAGGAGAGACACAATAAAATGTTTTGTGTGTCTCTTGATTCCTCCCAGCATTATCGACTATGGTTAATACTTTATGTGGGAAACATGCAAATTTACCGAAAAATAAAATTTTATTATTCCCAGTACAGAGACAAGAAGACATACCCAAAGACCTCGCCTCTGCCCCCCCATCATCATCCAGAGCCGCCTCACAAAAGGACTCTTCCTATATTGAGCTTTGATTTAATATTTACGACATAGCGCACATCTAAAATGTATTGTAGATCTGATAATCTCTATGTTCTCTCGAGGATTCCCAACAAACTTCCACTTCCGCAGAGCCAGAAATATGGGTGGGTAAATTCACAGACAGAGAGTGGGACTCTTATCCTTCCCGGAAAAAAAGCTGTACAGATGATACAGAGAGAGGGAAAATATGCAAGAGAGATGAAATCTATTGTTTCTCCTCTGCAGAGCTTTACGGCGCGGGGCAGAGAATTGGAGCTTTTCTCGCCCATCTCTTCGCGAATAAATCCACACTTTTCCCACCATCAGGAGTCACAAGACACTTAAGTGCCGCACATTTGGTGGTTTATGCCAAAGAAGGTCGAGGAGCACTTTGGGTAAATATTAGTTGTGCAAAAGAGAGCAACGGCGCATCGTTACGCGAAATTTCATGACTTCATTACGGCGTCAAATGCTTATTTGTATCACTAATTATGCAGTTGAGACATTCTTCTTACCGCAAAGCGGAGAAATCATGAGAGGAATGAAGACTAATTAATACCAATTAATTCATTGCAATTCAGATTATTTTTATTATAGAAACTGGCCTTTCTTACAGGTTTTTATTTCCTTAAATGTTTGGATTTCAGTTTCTGAGAATTTAATTTATTGTCTAAGAATAATTCTCAACAAATTGTGAGGTTATGAATCATTTTGGAATTTTTTGTAACCTTTTCAAAGCTCACAATCATTGGCTATCAAATTGTTATTATTATTACTTTGTAATAAGCTGAAGAAAGTTCTTATTGAACTTAAAAAAAGACAAAAACCAATCCAAATGACATTTTTTTGACACATAAAGATATTTTTGAGGTTATGTTCGACTAACTGTCAAAATCGCGAATGATTTTATGAATGTAAAAGCTATAAAAGCACAATTCTTGCCTTAAGGAAGGAAATATTTCTTACTTAGATTGACTTCAGTTCCAACTTCTGAAGCCTATATCGCAGCCCTTATTCCATTAGTTTGACACCCCTTGATCATCTTCATGTTCCACCTTCCTGTATTACCATCTTGCTGACTTGTTGGCAATACAAATTATTTATAAATTGAATTATTCACAGAAAAATGAGCTTTCTTTGTGCATACAAGTAAAGTTGCTGCAACTTTTTATTCCATCTCTCTTCCACTGTTTTTCAAATGGACATTTGAATGAAAAATATATGTTAATCTCAACATGATAATAACACAATTTAAATAAATAGGGGTAGCGTGGAAAACAAAAAAGGGAGGATTCCGGTGAAGAAAGAGAAAGCCCGCGGGGCGCTGAGGGTGAAAGGATGCACGCTGGGTTTTGGTGGTGGAGGACGGAAAGAAATCAGTGCCGGAGAAGAAGAAAGGAGGAGGAGGAAAAACTCATTCTCCCACGGAACGCCTTTTGATATGGAAAAGCGTGAGTTGCAACAAACGGCGGGTATTGAGTGCCGAGGACTCTCGAAGCTCCGCGTGGAAAGCTCACTCCGGCAGCGGATATGGGGGAACATAAATAAAACCGACAAGTGATGATAGTGATTTGCTCTGTGTTGATTTTTGTTCGACAAGATAAATGATAAATAAAGGCAGTTCCATCGAGATTGGGTGTGTGTGTGAGCTTCGGAGAGGAAGTTCTTTTTGTAGGGCGATTATTCACAACACCCACTCCACCCCCTTGCCAGCTCCTCTGTTTGCAAATAAAAGGGAATATATACGCAAGAGGGAGGAAAATGTGCTATGTTGCAAGTCATTTACATTTCAGCTCATATCCTTCCAAAAAGAAGATGTGCGCGCTTTCTGGCCGAAAAGCCTTGCGATCGACGAGAATTACACCCCTTTTCGCGAGTTGAGCGCAAGCTCAGGACTTTTCCCACCACTTTTTCCCCTCGTGACTTTCCTCCCCACCAAAACTGCCAGATTTTCGGCCACTTTGCACATTTTCGCGGCCAAGATCCACCCTCAGTGCTTCCCCAGACGTCACACAGAGGCAACATTCGTCTCCTCGCATCCAAGGCATTTGAGCGTTGCGAAAGCACTCGATGTCGATACATAGAGATGCCTGCGAAAGCTCCCCAGTCGGAAGAGGCGCAACTGTGGGGGGTTGGAATGAATTGTAATTCACTTGTGAGGAAATTAGTCCCTCTTTTTCTCTCCACACACTCATCAATTGCATTTTAGGAGCCAATTACGTCTTCTCCCACTTCCACATCGAGAGATCATTGAACTTGAGAGGACGTGCTAACTGGCGGAGCTCTTTAGAGAACTTTGAAAGCTTTCAAAGAATTTACAGGGACAATGCAGTTATCGGAAGTGTGTCTGGACAAAAACTAAGCACCATGCGATCTCTTTAGATAGCAAGTTTCCACCATAAATAGCAAGTTAATAGCTTGGGTTCTTATCGCGCATTAGTTCCCATCTAGAATATATCTTATACGACATTATAATGGGAGGCAGAAACTGCGCTTCCTGACTTGACACTCAAGCGTATAGCAAACAATCTTTAATGTAGCTTTCATACTTCGATACTTACAGACTTCTTTATGGGGATTTTTGCCCAACATCATAC